GGGGGGGGCGACCTGCGCTTGGAGTGCCTGCAGCCTCTTTGCTACCCGCTCATCGAACCTGCACTGCCGTGGTGAGACAATTCCGGCTACCCCAGCTTATAGGGGAAAATATAATCCAGCCATTCGGGCAAATCCCTCCCCTCTGCTTCCCTCACGTGGATAAGATGTGTAACTAAGGTGTACCCATATATGTTTAATGTGTTGTAATCACTCCTTTTGAACCTCCTGCCCCAAATTGCTTTGTTTTCCCCACAATAAACCTTGCTGTTGTTAGAAATTTAGTAAGCACTGAGCGAGTTATTCACTCAAAAAAGTCGGGACATAAGTTCCTGTATCCTCTGTGTGAGGCGATACCCACGTGTGGATCTCTCAGCAAATCCTGATAAGTTAATACACTCCAATAAGGAGATATAATAGGTCACGGATCGTGACACATACCCAAAATGAGAGTATTCAAATGTCACATAACAGGTACAGAGTTTACAAAAACACTTCGTATCTCGGGAAAGGGAAGTCACTTTTACTAACTTAGATCAGAAAAGCTAGGCTGTGTCCCAAAGTGAGATTACATTTCATCTTCAGTAAGAGACAAATAATTCCCACAGTTCTGCATAAATATTTGTAATTTTGAATAAATTACAAAACAGCAAAAGTGTTAGCTAATTCTGTTGTTCATAAGACCACTTGTTAATCAGTACCTTGGCTGGCAAGGACAACACCAGGAGAGAAAGAAACCTCTACACTGTAGCAAAATTCCTGCTAAATCCTTGTACCATAAAACCTTAAATCTTCATGTTCAGGTCTATGTTAGCAAAACCTTCTCAAATGCTACCCTGTGACAGCATAAGCACAACAATAACAAAACCTTAACATTTCATACTAGTACTAAGTTGGTTACTACATCAGTGTCACTGTCAAAGACTGCAAGGCGCTTTTTTTCTAAATCAAAAATGCCTTTAAAAGTCCAACTCCAATGCTCTATTAGCACCAAGAGACTTTTCCAATTAACATCTATCATGATAAAGCCAGAAAGGCTTCGAACATAAATCTTGGTCTTTGATTTAACTTACAGTACACTGCTATGATCACTCTACAACAAAAATGTACATTTTCTTCGACATTTAATTGATAAATGAATAGCAGTTTCCCTTAAAGGGAAGCTATCACTGTCTGCTGTCCCAGCACCAAAATGACATATGGCTTTGAAGCACATGCCTGCGAGGCAGCCATTACCCTTTTTAATGGTTTAAGTGCCCTCAGTATATAAATTTAAACTACCAATGAATCTTGTAGACTCATTTGGAAGATGAATGTCCCTAATTGCTTGCTTTTGTGCCCACTATTAATTTTAGTTATCAGGGTTCTGATTAGCAAAAAACAATGTGCCTGTTAATACTCAGCAAGCAACCCAAACTTCCTTATGCATAGCACATCACTGCTGTAACCACAGAACAAGCAAATGTCCACTTATCACATGCACATGAACAAAGTTTATCAGGACAGATTATCAATCTATTACAAAATCCACCCTATTACCTAAACCAATGTCTTCTTCTCATGGAGCAAAACTCCTTCTCTTACCAGCAGGTTGTGACATTTCAAGACAAGTAAAGAAAAAGCCAATACTGAAGTGATTTATCCTCTACAAGAAGACAGACATTTAAAACCTCCTGCAAGTCCACTCCTTGTGACTCAAAGCATGAGCAAATTTGGATCTCCCTTTCTCTGTTTTAACAGTCAACTGCCTGCACACTATTCAGTAACTCTGGGTACACAGAGACAAACTTAGTGTAACATGCTGTGTGGAAAACACAAGAAGATAAGATAGGTGGGTGAAACCTGCAGTAATCTATTGGTTATTTCCAGTAATTTGATCAAAACAATACAAATTTTTAACCAATCTTTAACCAAATGAGAAAACACGTATGACAGAAATACACCATAGGCCAGGACTTGCTGGTACGCTAACTCAGCTACGGGGCCACTCTCTGCAATGGTGTGACAGCACTGTTCAGGGAAGAAGGTGGCTCAGTGAATTCTCACCAGTTTCCAAAAAAGTTCAGCAGCTGAACTCAAATGCATATTTGCATTTTCTGTCCAACATTTTGCCAAGAAGCTGCTAACATCCTATAAAGTACAAGTTAGAAATCTCGAACTCAGCCATTTGTCACCTCCCGCATAACTCAGTAAGGTACTTTGGTACCAGCCACTGTCCCATTATGTATCACCACCATGCCACAAACAGGGATTTGTGCACCTCTGCTCTGTCTCCCAGATGGAAGCACAAAGCACTGACAATTCAAAAGCTCTTGGACCTTACAGCACCTAAATCCCCGTTTACTTTAGATTTCTAATATCACGCTTCAGAAAGAGGCAGCAGTAGGGACTAAAGCAATACACCAGACTGGTCTGACCTCAGCAGCCTAATACAGGCTTGAGG